GACCATGGGATGGACTTGTGGGTGTGGGGATGGCAAGATCTTGAACTTTCAACTAGGTGGGGAAAGCCGGGAAACTTTCAGATTCGGGTTTCCCCAGATGTGCCAACATGGCTCTCTTCATCAATCGGAACTTTCAGGAATCCTTTGTCTCTGACTCTGATTTACTTTTGGATGCTATTTGGAACCCTGAACTGCGCACTCCAATATATGTCTCCGGCCAGCCACTCATGCGGCCCGGTGGAGATGAGGCCACAGCCTGGTAATGAGCTGCGGCCCACAGGTTGTGGCCCCTTGGGATAGAAAATTCCAACAAGGGCACTGCCAACACTGTTGTAGATCGGGGGTGTCAAACGCACATTTCTTTGAGGGCTGCATCAGGGTTGCGTTTGACCTCGGGTGGGGGGGCAGGGTGTGTGTGGCCAGTGCGACGTCACTCATGTCAGAGGCAGCCGTAACGGAACAAGCGCTCTGCCAGCGAAAACAGGTCCCCGATCTCCGTTTTCATCTGGGACGGCATCCTGCAACCCTCCGCCAGCGAGAACGGAAATTGGGAGTCCAGTTTTGCCGGTAGAGGCACCACGGGCCAGACCGTCTCTGTCTCCGAGGCGGCCCCGTGGGAAAGATCTAAGCACCTTGGCGGGCTGGATCCGGCCCACGGGCCTTGCGTTTGACGCCTCTGTTCCAGATTAACTTGGTTGGCAGAAGGCTGCTCCTGAGCCAAGGAAACCCACCTCTGGCCCCCGCGTAGGGAAGCGCCAAGGTCTGCTCTCGCGGGGAGAGTCCTCGCGCGAGGTCCGGCCGCAGGTTGACCTGCATCTGCTGCGAGGTGATGTAGTCGTTCAGGATGGTCTGCCGCGTGTTCTCCATGGCATAAAGCTGGTATTGGCTGGGGTAGCCCGGCGTGGGCGAGAGTTGCCGCTGGAACATGTAGGCGGTCGCTGGGCGAGGAAGAGCAGAAGACATTCATTGGGGACAACCAGGGACCAGGCGAGGCATAAAAAAAAGCAATATTGCTGATATTATAGGCACTCCTCGACTTACAACCGTTCATTTAGTGACCGTTTGAAGTTACAACGGGATGGAGAAAAGGGGCTTATTCAACCAAGTCCAAGATTTTTCCTCGTCTTCCTACTTGAACAGGGGAGGGTTGGACTAGAAGACCTCCAAGGTCCCTTCCAACTTGGTTATTCTCTCCAGGTAATCCTCAACTTACAACCATTCATTTAGTGACTATTTGAAGTTACAACAGCGCTGAAAAAAGGGGCTTACGACCACTTTACGGCCGCTGTGGCATCCCCACGGACGAGGGATTTACATTCGGATGCTTGGCAACGGACCCACAGTTACGACGGTCGCAGTGTCCCAGGGGTCATGCGATCCCCTTTAGCGACCTCCTGACGAGCAGAGTCAAGGCGGAAGCTGGTTTCACTTAACGACCTTGTTTCTAACTTCACATCTGCGGTGATTCACTTAGCAACAGGGGGCAAGAAAGATCGTTCAGTGGAGCAAGACTTAACGACCATCTCATTGAGCAATGGAAATCTGGGGCTCAATTGCGGTCGTAAGTCGAGGACCCCCTACAGAAAAGCAGCAATAATAATAATAATAATAACAACAACAACAACAATAGGTACGTACTGGGATCCAAGGCTCTGTGGAACTGGATGGCCGGATCCAGGTGAGGCGAGAGGTGGCTCCTGTAGACCTCGGGGGCTGCCCCTCGGTGGTGGGGGTCGAAGGGACTGTGCGTGACTACGGGGTCAACCCCCGGGACCGGTGATTTGGCCGGGACGCTCTCCCGTTGCGTCGGCGTCAAAGTGGACTTCCTCTCGTGATTCAAGGGCTTCCCCGAAGAAAGGTTGCCTGCAAAAGAGTTGGCGGAAGGTCGTGGGGACGCGAGCGGCTTCTGCGCCCCGCTTTGGCCGCTGGGAAGCTCAGGTGGGCTGGGAGCGCCGAAAGGAAGGTTGGCGGGCTGGTTGGGTTTGAAATAGGGAAGCCCAAGAGGAGTGACGGCAGAAGGCGGCCCAGGGGTCCCTCAAGCCCTGGCCTTCCACTTTTCCCTTTGTTTCTGCTTCCTTGTTCATCTGTTCGTTTCTTTATTTTATTATTTTATACTACTTTCTTTATTATTGTAATATTTTATTTCTTTATGTTATTTTTTAGTTAGTATTTGTTATTTTTGCTTTACTCTTACATTTCATTATTATTTTAGTTTTGAACTTCCCTCGTGTCAGTTTTGTTATGCCTCCATCTTCCGTCCTTTCTTCTCCTCTTTTCCTTTTCCTTCCTTCCTTTTTCCCTCCCTCCCTTCTCATCTTTTCCCCCTTCCCTTCATCTTTCTGTATCCTCTCTCCCTCCCTCCCTCCCCCTTCCTTCTCATCTTTTCCTTTTGCTTCCTCTTTCCCTCACCCTCCCTTCCCCTCTCCTTTCTTCCTTCCTTCCTCTCCCTCCCTCCCTCTCATCTTTTCCTTCCCTTCCCCTTTCTGTCTTCCCTCCCTCCTTCTCATCTTTTCTTTTTTCCTTCTCTTTTTCCCTCCCCTCCTTTCTTCCTTCCCCTTCCTTCTCATCTTTTCCTTTTTCCTTCCTTCTCTTTTTCCCTCCCCTTTCTTCCTTCCCCTTCCTTCTCATCTTTTCCTTTTTCCTTCCTTCTCTTTTTCCCTCCCCTTTCTTCCTTCCCCTTCCTTCTCATCTTTTCCTTTTTCCTTCCTTCTCTTTTTCCCTCCCCTTTCTTCCTTCCCCTTCCTTCTCATTATTTCCTTCCTTCTTTTTCCCTCCCCTCCTTTCTTCCTCCTTCCTTCTCATCTTTTCCTTTTTCCTTCCTTCTCTTTTTCCCTCCCCTCCTTTCTTCCTTCCCCTTCCTTCTCATTATTTCCTTCCTTCTTTTTCCCTCCCCTCCTTTCTTCCTCCTTCCTTCTCATCTTTTCCTTTTTCCTTCCTTCTCTTTTTCCCTCCCCTCCTTTCTTCCTTCCCCTTCCTTCTCATTATTTCCTTCCTTCTTTTTCC